CACAAAAAGCAAGAATATCAAAACGTACATGCCAGAGAGTTAAGCCTTTCGTCAACTTGTTTACAAGCATGCGCCACTACCAGTTTATCATCAGAACAAATGTACGGATGAAAAAAAGAGATCTGTTGCCTTACTGGCATTGTCGAACCTTCGACTTACTGCATACAATAATGCTACCTCCTTCTGCGCCTTATCCACCAATCGGATTTTTGTAATTATGCGTTTTATGCTGTGTAACAGCAGTACAAAACGCATATTGTCATGGGGTTGTTTGTGTGTGTGTGTGTTCGTAGCAACTTGTCCGCAACTTTCAACTCGGGAACCACAAAAGCTAGGAAGCTGAAAATTTAGGGGAACTACCCACGTGTAACCCCGCAAATTTAAATTCAGCTTCCCCGTACTCGCGGGTAATACGTATGGCCCCGTGAAAGTTTTTTACGGGTTAATTAATATCTCGAGAACCAGAGAGTCTAAGAGAATGAAATTTTAGGGTAATCACCCCCTGCCCACGTACAGCCTTGCCCATTCAAATTCAGCGTTCTCGCGCGCTTGAGTATCACCTACAGCCTCATGAAAATTTTGACGGATAAACTATTAACTCGGGATAAAGATATTCACCCTACAGTGTTTCGAATTCAGCTTTCATGCGCTGGTGCGTGAAATTTTTAGCTGTTTCCCAATGTTTGAACTATTTTTGCGTAAAGTACGAAGCAGTTAAGATCATTAATAGGTAATCGTTCGATGGGCTGAATTGCACAAAACGCATGATCGCACCGGCTAGTCTGGTGCGCGTTGCTATAAGTGCTGAAAGTGTTTTATTCTCCATAAAATCTATGCCTAAGCAGTTTCTGATTGGAAATTACGGAAATACATTGTAACTCAGCGAACAGCAACTACTTCTGTGGTCTGTTGCAGGGGAAATAGCTGTATACTTGCGGATGAAATGGGTTTGGGAAAAACGATCCAGTGTATCGGTTTCCTGTCGGTACTGTATCACAAGTACGAATTGTATGGGCCGTTCCTGGTTGTTGTACCGCTCAGTACGGTGGCTTCTTGGCAACATGAATTTGAGCTTTGGGCACCGGATTTGAATGTTGTTATTTATATTGGTGACGTAACAAGCCGTGATTTGGTAACTTTGTAACTGTTGTTTTTTTTCTTTTTTTTTTTTGAATTTTTTTAAATTAAATTGAAAATCAGAGCTCCTTCCTTTTTCACTTTCTCTGAGAAGTGCAACAGTAAAAACTAACCCGAGCATTAGTAGTTGCAAAGACAGTTAGCCACCAGCAGGCTGAAAATGGCTTCGAAGATTGCCAAGAAGAAGACTGTTGCTGGGTTTAACTTTCTGATATGTGCCAGCATTTACCGTCTACTAGAAACGAAAGAGAATTGGTTGTCTCATTGCCAGAATTGAACCCCCAAATTTCAGCAGTAGGCCACGGCCCCTGTCCGTTTTTTAAGATTTTTTGTAAAATCTCTAGGCTGCACTGTTGACGGGAAGGGAGGCCAGCTGAAAAAAGAGTTAATTTTAGCTTCAGTCATTCTAAAAGAGGCTGCACATTCGTTTGGAAGCGCTAAAAAAAACGCGAAATTTTACTTTATCGTTCGTTTGGTCGCTTGTCCTATCGAAACTGGCACCATTTTCATGTTTTTTGACCTTACCTTGACGATTCAATCATTCGGCGTCCCTAGCGTTTCTTTCTTTATTCTTCTGACAAATAATGCAAAATGTAAAATATTTCTTCGTAGTTTTTTTGGTGCTTCAGCTCACCCATTAGCAGTTTTCCTGCGCTTCTTGATAAGGACTGCCACCTGTTACGAATGACTTATAACGAATTGATAGAGCAGGATCAGCGGATTTTGGTTATATTTGCTTTGCCATGATGATATGGGTATCAAGCGGAACACAGCTACTGGGAAGAAAAGCAGTGGGATAGATTACTACAAGCATAAATTTAAACACGACACAGATTGTCTAAATTGTGTTGTGTTTAAATTTGATTGTCTAATTTTCGGCATAAGTACCATGGTGCCTTCCGCCTGCACGTCCTCCCGTGGATGCGCCTAGTGGATAGGCCTGTTTGGGTGGCGTAGTTCGGTAGCTGTTTAATTTATGTGGTGCTTGATGCTCTTACGTGATTGGCTGAGGTTTTTAGTTCATTACGCACTGAGGTTTTTTTTTCAGTTAACAGTTTTCGTTTTCAGATACGGCAATATGAAATGTTTGTACAGAGCACAAAACGCTTAAAAGTGAACGTTGTTCTA